TGAGAGGCTCCCGGAGAGACGGCTCAGCACCCCGAACCGGAGCACCCCCAGACGCAGCAACCCCAGGCTCCGTAGGCTCAGTCGCAGCACCCCCAGGCTCAGGACCCCCAGACTCAGCACCCGAAGGCTCAGCGCACCCAGGCACGGCAGCTCCAAGCCCGCTAGCACCGCCAGCTCCAGCAGCTCCAGCCTCAGTGTGCCCAGAACAACCAGCCCCGGCAGCTCCAGTACCTCCAGTACGAGCACCTCCAGGACGAGCAGCTCCAGAACCTCCAACTCCAGCAGGGCCACGAGGACGGCGAAAGCGCCGGACGTACCAGTCACGAAGCTGCTGCTGTGTGAGAGACGGCTCAGCACCCCGAACCGGAGCACCCCCAGACGCAGCAACCCCAGGCTCCGTAGGCTCAGTCGCAGCACCCCCAGGCTCAGTACCCTCAGGCGCAGCACCCCCAGGCTCAGCACCCCCAGACTCGGCACCCCCAGGCTCAGTACACCCAGGCTCCGTACACGCACGCTCAGCACCCCCAGTCGCAGCACCCCCAGGCTCAGCACCCCCAGGCTCCGTACTCTCAGGCACCGTACCCTCAGCTCCAGCACCCTCAGTCCCAGCACCCGCAGCCCTAGCAACCCCAGGCCCAGCACCCCCCAGGCTCAGCACCCCCAGGCTCAGCACTCCCAGCAGCACCACCCGCAGCAGCACCTGAGTCACCTGTGACCTCGACAGGCTCAGCGACGGGAGGAGGGTCTACTTGAGAGACACCTGAAGGAGCAGGACCCTGAGGGGGAAGGGGGTCTACCGGAGGGGGACCAGGAGCGAGGAATAGCAGCGGGGGAGGGAGGGGGGCAGTGCGGTAGGGGAAGAGACGGTAAAAAGGGACCGACTCGTCAAAGGTGACGTCCTGAGAGGCGAAGACCCGGCGCGAGGTGGGGTGGTAAAACTGCCAGCCAGGCGCGTCAGGGACAAAGCCAAGGAAGACACAGGGGACAGCGCGGGCGGAGAGCTTGTCCGCGGTGGTATCGCGGACAAAGGCACGAGAACCCCAGACCCGGAAACGCGACGCATCGCCAACCTCCCCCGTCCACAGCAGTGTGGGCGAGGTCTCCGGCAAGGAGACACGGGGCCAGAGGTTGAGCTGATGCGCGGCGTACCGGACCGCAAACGGCCACAGAAAATGGGGGCAGCCGCATGGACCATGGAGGTACGAGCGACCTCCATGACCAAGCCAATGCGGCGCTCAGCAATCCCATTCTGCTGCGGAGAGGCCGGAAGCGTGAACGACTGGGTGATGCCGTGCTCCGCACAGTAGGCTGCCAAGAGGTCGGAGGAAAACTCACCACCTCTGTCAGAGTGCAGACGCAGGACGGGAAACTCTGTCCCGAACCGCCGGCGGAGCTGGAGACGAGCAGCGCGGATCCAGGGGATCAAAACAGTAGGGACCTCACCCTTGGTGCGCAAGGGGAAGACCGTGGTGTAACGCGTGTAGTCGTCGACGACCAGCAGGAAGTACCGCTCGTGGTCCTGTCCACGGACACGGGCTGGGCCCCACACGTCCAGGTGGAGAGTCTGCAAGGGAGCCTCTGTGGGAGGGAACGAGGAGGAGTGAGGAGCGGCGCGCTGCCGCCCCTCGACACAGGGAAGACAGGGAGGAGCAGGCGAGGGTGGGAGGGGAGGGAGAACTCTGGGAAGACCAGAGACAAGGACACGACGGTGCATGCTGCGAAGGCGCTGCACCGAGGGGTGACCAAGGCGGTGGTGCCAAAGGAGGGTCTCGTGCGACAAGGCGCGACACAAGCAGGGGGCCGACAGCTGACCTGACGCAGACGCAGACGCAGCTACCTGAGGGGACTCAGTGGTCAGGGTGTACAGGCTCGAGCCAGGCGCACGGGTGAAAGTGGCCAGGTGTCGGCCCGTCCGAGCACACGTACAGTGAGTCACCCGCTGACGCGCAGGAGTGAACTGGTCAACCCCCCCATCCTGGAGGTCAGCTCCACTCACCAGGTTCGTAGAGAACGAGGGGAGGTAGAGACCTGACAGCAAGCCAGACGGGGCGGCCGGACACGGCAGAACCGTGGAGTAGTGGGCAAGGACTGGACCCCCAGAGGGGTCGGCCAGGGAGACTGCAACCGGCCGACGAAGCGGCGTAAGTGTGGTGCAGTCGCGAAAGAAGGAGCGGGAAGCTCCTGAGTCAAGGGTGAAGGTGTGCAGGGTCGCAGCAGGCGAAGAACCAGAGAGGGCAGACTCACCAGGACCTGGAGCAGCAGCCTCACCAGCACCTAGAGCTGGAGACGCAGTAGCACCTAGAGCAGCAGCCTCACCAGCACCTAGAGCAGGAGACGCAGTAGCACCTAGAGCAGCAGCCTCACCAGTACCTAGAGCAGCAGGCGCGATACCTGGGTCAGGCGGCGCACACAGGTAACAGGCACGGTCAGCACTAGTAGGCAATGCATACATGGCAGTGAGAATAGCATCATAGTTAAGAGCAAAGATATCTACTCTCTGCCTAAGTAGCTCCACCCAGTCGGGGAGCTCAGCCCCGTCGCCAAACTCGGTGCGCCAGGCGTCGCTCAGACGGGCGAAGCAGCGGGACTGCGTGTGACTAGGTGTCCCGCAAGGCTGACCAGTCCGAGCACCAGTGCGAATGACGTAAGAGCAGCGAACAGAACTGAGAGACCCTCTACTCTGAGCGTACCACTCACGAAGCTGCTGGGGCGTGCGAGACTCGCGTGGACGACAGTGTAGCTGCATCTGGCCACCGCCAGTAGCAGCAGCAGCAGCAGTAGTGGCAGCAGTAGCAGCGCGGCCACCCCTACAACCCCAACTAGCGGACCACTCACGCAGCTGCTGGGGCGTGAGGGACTCACGCGGACGTCGCTGGGGCTGCATCTGGCGTCGGCCAGTAGCAGCAGGTCAGGCAGGCAGGCAGGCCGGCGGCGCGGCAGCGCGCTAGCAAGGCAGGGGCTCACCAGTAGCAGGAAGAGCAGGCTCTCACCGGGCGAGCAGGGCCGGTGCTCGGCGGACGGCGGCAGGGTCAGCGTACGACGGCGGCGACAGCAGGGCCGTGGCAGCGGCTACAGTGAAGGGCCGGATCGAGTCAGCGGCAGGGCAGGGCCGGGTCGTGGAAGCAGCAGGGTGGCGCGAGCCGCTGCCGGGGGCCGTGCACTGGCGGGTAGTGCGCAGCGCGGGCCGCGCGGACGGCGCGCAGCGCGCTGCGGGCCGCGGACGCGCCGCGCGGACTTGGGGCGAGCTGCGCGGGGCAGCGGCGGGCCGCGCGCGCGTCGCGCGGGCTCGGGACGGGCTGCGCGGGGCAGCTGCGGGCCGCGCGCGCGTCGAGCGGGCTCGGGACGGGCTGCTCGGCAGGCAGCGCGACGGCGGGCAGCGCGGCAGGCAGTGCGGCGGGTGGGCAGCGCGGCGTGCAGCGCGACGGGCGGGCAGCGCGGCGAGCGGGCAGCGCAGCGGGCGGGCAGCGCGGCGTGCAGCGCGACGGGCGGGCAGCGCGGCGAGCGGGCAGCGCAGCGGGCTGCGCGACTGGCGGGCGACGCGGCAGGCAGCGCGACGGTGGGCAGCGCGGCGGGCAGCGCGACGGGCGGGCAGCGCGGGCGCACGAGGGCGCTAACGAGGGGCGCACGAGGGCGCTAACTGGGGCGCGTGAAGGCGCTAACGAGGGGCGCGCGAGGGCGCAGCGAGGGCGCGCGAGGGCGCTAACGAGGGCGCGCGAGGGCGCTAACGAGGGCGCACGAGGGCGCAGCTAGGCTAGGGCACGGGGTAGCGTGGTAACCGCATGCGAGCGGTGGTGGGCCCTAAAAAAAAACGGTCGGTAGGTCCTAGGGACCTCCTGCTCTGAATACCATGTCAACAAGACTAGGCAAGAATGGTGCATTGAATGAAACAGTTGGGTACAAGTAGCAAACCCTAATTGGGGTTGTACCCCATATTGGCTACCCCACTACAGCCTACCAACATGTAACACATTACAATTTAACACTTGACACCAGCGATACGTCATCGTGCCACGACGTATGCCACGTGGTGTTGTTTGCAGCGTGGTATTTGCTCCGAGCCCCATTCGTGCATTTATTGGTGCACGAAGTATTCACGAGCGTCGCTGACGTCTCGTACGTGCATGGAACCACCCACGTTCACATCAAATTGTCGAGCCCAGCTTGTGTGTTTTTCACGCATATGTTCACATTTGTAGGTTCGAACATGGTTGAATGTGGAAATTCAACACCATTCGCGAAGGATATGGGCGAAATTTGCGAAATTGGTTATCACCCATAGTTCGCCCCAATTTACGAACTTACAAAAAAAATCATACACGTCGTAAGGAGTGTCGCGGCTCGGCTCGGTACCTAGCGGTGTTCGCCAAACTGTTCTGGTCTTTCGTCGCTTTTCACACAGCTAACTCAATTTCGCGAAGTGCTGACGTTAGCGGTACACTCTTGCCAAATGCTCATCCTCGTGGAGGAGGTTGAAACCAACTCGATACTACGCATAGAAAGCAGTTTAGCTGGAAGCTTGCTAAACAAACATACACAACCTGTAGCATGTGCTAATCGGAAAAACTCACTAAAGTGCACATTGAGATATCATTTTGCAACATACCACAGCCTTATAAAATTCGCAAAGAGATTATGGTTTTCTCTGGAAAGTAGTGAAATATTGCATTCACATTTCATCGTCATTAATCAGAACATGTTACAATGCTCCATTAGAGCTTGAGGGTGTTGGAAGAGTGTGGAGATGCATTATAGTGTTCCTGATGGAGAATACAGGAGAGACAGCTGCCAACTCCCTCTGTTCGAGAACCACTTCAGGCACTTTATTGGGCTGTTTGCCGTGCACTTCTGCCCTTTCTTCGGTGCAGCTTCCGTTTCAAAGCAGGACTATGCTCTAGGCGCTGTGGTATCGAGAACGCTGTAGCCATACCTCCTGCACCTTCCTCTCCCGTCACGCATTTCCCCTCGTCACCTTTATCTCAAGATTCACAACATTGCAACCCCTATTCAGTTGTCTGCACTACGCACGCGCCAGTTACCAATTCCCAGTTCTGCTGCACCAGGAACTTCATATTGTTGAGCCCCACGAGGTTGTACTCTGCATCCTCACCGTTTTGGTTCTGAGTAGTTTGCCTAACTCCGTAGCTGTAGCTGCACTTATCCGCGTTTTCCTCCCAGTTAGCGTCGATCCAGCCGCTGCTGGAATCAGGATCCGTCGCAGCTTCTGCGATCTCGTGAGCGACTGTCGAAACCATCGCGTCGAGCCAGGGCTTTCCATTGGGCGAAGTCGGCTTCGCCCCGCAGCTTGCGGGGCATAATCCGTGATGACTCACGAGGGCATACGCGACCGGCTTCGACCCGCCGAGACGATTCATCGTGTGCCACCCGCAGAATTTCTTGCAAAATCCATGAATTTCCACGTTATTGCCGGCGAGAACCATGTAGGTGCCGTTGGCGTCGTAAGGGAACGGTTTTCCGTCGCCAATCTTGCCCATAACAACTGTGATAGAAGAGGTGCATGCGATGTATATGATTCTGAGTAGGTAACAAGTCAGTGCAGAAGTACGTACAACGTGGTGTCGGCAAATGATCGGAACGCGTGTTTTTTGTAACAAAAAGGAAGAAACTTCTGCTGGAAAAGAAAGCACACCTTTCCAGGGAGTGTTGTAGTCAAACTTCTTCCCCTGAGACCCTTGGTCGTAGAATACCTTTGCGAGCTTCACCTGCGAAAGCCAGAGGGGCGGACGTAAGATCATTCCGTAAAATCCCCGTCGGAAGCTGTTGTTTCGTTTGCAGAAAAACTCGTGTAGCCAGCCTTGAGCTCTACTACAGCGCGCTCAAGGTTCGAATTGTTCCATGTTTTTGACAGACCGTCATTTGCAACCATGAAACATTGAATGTGCGCATCCGAGAATTCTGTTTGCCCGATGCCGCAGCTCCTGCTCGTCCAGAAAGTACACCTTTTCCGCAAATTCCGGATTTGTAACATTCGACATACCTGCTTGCTTACGGTTGCCGTTGACCCTGATGAATTCGAATAGTATTTCGAGCTGATCGCCCACCAGTTGCTCACTTTCGGATCCCCAGCTCCCCCCTGAGCATCGGAGCCATTTAGACTCAGCGACTTCATAAAATTCTCGATCACATTCTGACCAATTTCCGCTGGCCAGTAACCGTAATATATTAGGTATATACTCAGCGTATGGCCGCTCAGCACGGGACCACCGTGGTATTTGATGGGAATGGATAGCAAATCGTCCAACGAGCCTCCCTGTTGTCCCTCCTCGCGTCGCTCCTGGTCGAAGCTGGATTTTGATTCGAACAGGTGCAGCGGAGGCTCAGAGCCGCGGTCGACGACGTCGGTCAGTTTTCGCTCACGGTCGCTTAGCTGTCGCTGATGGAGGTACTGCTCGTGAGCCTGTCGCGTGAGAGCGACGTGTACCCGACCCGCGAATGCGGAGGGGAACAACGAGAGGCAGACGAATATAATTGAGAGAGAGAACGGCAGGGAATTGGGAACTTTTTCCATGGCTGGGGGACGCCAAGATTTGACGCTGACAGTACTAGGACTTTTATTATCAGTGGTAATGAGTAGCTTTGGCACGAATTCTGGAAGCTAGATTACTTTGATGCCTTAAAGAAGATCACGTACTCTCTTGTACCTATGAAACGATAACGCGCACTGCCTCACCCACGATAAAACCATAATGAGAAGCTCCGTTGGAGTCGCGTCGCGTCATGGCTGTAGATCGACGTTGCATCGGGGAGCACCTGGCCCGGCATTTCAACAGCTGCGTGTCTCTGGGTTTCCCTGAAAGTAATTCAACGACGTTCATGTCAGACGTAGGTGCTACTCTGACGTTCATGTGTTCAATGCGCGCTTCAATAATGGCAGAGGCCGTCGGTGCTGCTTTGAACAATGTTGTTGCCCTCGACTGCTAGAGATCGAGCGGTGTATAGCGGTATCTAAAGCTTTTTACGGTTCAAAGAGCACATTGTTGAGACCGCATTCTACCGTGTTGGACCATACTAAGAATGTCCGAGCCATCCTTACACACACACAACATTGTCGCGGCTCGAACCGAAGCAACCCTTGCGACTCCCTGCCATTGGATCCAACTTCTCGTTCCATATCTTGATTCGAATACAGCTCACCTGCCATGTCTGCTTTAGGACGCCCTCACTCTTCCTCACTTTCTTCTCAACATCCACTTCAATTCTGCCCTGAACCACAGCCCTTCGCCAGAATTTCACAGCCTCCAATTCTCCGCACGCTGCTGCCAGCTCCCTCTCCCTCACTTCCACCCGTCCGCTCAACTCCCTATACTCTGCCGCTCTCATCCGCTCAGCCTCCTCCAACAGCCCTCTGATCTCTCTCATATCAGCTGCTCTACTCCTCTCCGCGTCTTCCACTTCATGCCTTGTCTCTTCCAAGTGCATACTCAGAATCCTGGCCCGATCTTTGTGTTCAGCCAAGTCCCCCTTAACCGCTGCCAACTCCCCCTTTACCGCTGCCAACTCCCCCTTTACCGCTGCCAACTCCCCCTTTACCGCTGCCAATTCCCCGTTCACTCCTGTCAACTCCCCCTTCACTTCTGTCAACTCCCCTTTCACTTCTGTCAACTCCCCTTTCACTTCTGTCAACTCCCCCTTCACTTCTGTCAACTCCCCCTTCACTTCTGTCAACTCCCCCTTCACTTCTGTCAACTCCCCCTTCACTTCTGTCAACTCCCCCTTCACTTCTGTCAACTCCCCCTTCACTTCTGTCAACTCCCCCTTCACTTCTGTCAACTCCCCCTTCACTTCTGTCAACTCCCCCTTCACTTCTGTCAACTCCCCCTTCACTTCTGTCAACTCCCCCTTCACTTTTGTCAACTCCCCCTTCACTTCTGTCAACCCCCCCTTCACTTCTGTTAACTCCTCCTTCACCACTGCAAACTCCCCCTCCCTCTGCTCCAGTTGCCTCCTCGTATCACCCAGCTGTGCACCAAGCGCCTGCAATTGGCAGCGGTAAAGGGGGAGTTGGCAGCGGTAAAGGGGGAGTTGGCAGCGGTAAAGGGGGAGTTGGCAGCGGTTAAGGGGGACTTGGCTGAACACAAAGATCGGGCCAGGATTCTGAGTATGCACTTGGAAGAGACAAGGCATGAAGTGGAAGACGCGGAGAGGAGTAGAGCAGCTGATATGAGAGAGATCAGAGGGCTGTTGGAGGAGGCTGAGCGGATGAGAGCGGCAGAGTATAGGGAGTTGAGCGGACGGGTGGAAGTGAGGGAGAGGGAGCTGGCAGCAGCGTGCGGAGAATTGGAGGCTGTGAAATTCTGGCGAAGGGCTGTGGTTCAGGGCAGAATTGAAGTGGATGTTGAGAAGAAAGTGAGGAAGAGTGAGGGCGTCCTAAAGCAGACATGGCAGGTGAGCTGTATTCGAATCAAGATATGGAACGAGATTATGAACAGTGAAACTGACTCTACACTTAACATACAAAGGCATATGCAGGTAAAAGCAGCAAAATCAACCGAATAAGAAATAACTGGAATCAGTATATACGTGAGGATAATAGACAAACTATCAGAATATTCAGCAGCAGATAGGCAATGTTTGTATAAGATACAGTTTTAAAATTAGGCCAACCATAGAGAATGAGAAGCTGGAATATAATATTTATATTTTTTACCTCGTTAGAGATTATGAGCGAAACAATAAGCAGACGCGAAGCAGATGTGAACCACTTGCACCCACAGCGGCTAGAAAGGGTCCTCACCTCACCTCAACTGCCATCCTAGTTGATAAAGAATCGCAGTTTACGGTCTCTACGCTCGAGCCGGCGGAACGCGTCAGTTGGGCCGTCCGAGCTCTACAAGGGACTTTCACGTAGAACGCGTGATGTAGTTGACGACGCATCATGGTTCCCGGCTTGGTCCGGTAGCTGGCCTATAGAACGTGTCTGTGTGAAGCCTCCCGTTCCCCGCGCTCCCACTGCTCGAGATGTGCATATAGTCAACTAAAAGATAGTCGACAGCCCTCACACCGCAATACTAAGTAGAGCATAACAAAACCCCCCTGCATACCCACCACGGGCTCCCATCCACCCCTCCCAGCTTCACTCGAGGAAAGTGCAACGCGCGCTGATTCTCGTAGGTAGAGAGAACACCACGCGCTCGTGATCTCGCGATCACGTCCCGTGGATCCCGAAGGGGCCCTCGCTCCCCGATGCCTCCTAAGCCCTCCTCGTCGTTCTCCTCCTCCCCCTCCTCCTCACCCCTCCCGTCGCGCTCCTCATCCCTTCCGTCACTTTCCTTCTCCTCCCACTCCTCCCCCGCTTCCGTCTCCTCCACTCTCTCGCTCTCATGGCGATCGCTCACGCTCGCCGTTCTAAGCGTCGCTGCGTTGGCCGTCTGCCTTCCGTTGCTGCATCGACGCCACTCCCACCTGGCGGTAACTGTCTCGCCAGGAATCGCATAAACGCGCTCGTATTTCGCACATTCTTTCTCTTTCCTCTTGGCCCCCGTCTGCCTCCCCTTGCTGCATCGTCGCCACCCCCACCTGACGGTAACGCTTTCGCCAGTAATCGCATGAACGCGCTCGTATTTCGCACATTCTTTCTCTTTCCTCTTGACCCCGTCTGCCTCCCCTTGCTGCATCGTCGCCACCCCCACCTGACGGTAGTGCTTTTCGCATGTTCTCCTCCCTCTTTCCTCTTGACAGTTCCTGACAAATTCGTGTTACCAATGCGCCAACCTTACGGATTGTTGTTTCCTTACCACCAATAGCTTGCTAACTGTGTGCAAACTTCCACTCGCGCTCTACAGATTCACCTCATTTTTCCTGTGGTGCCAATATATCGGGATTCACTGTGATTCACTTGCTTGCACATACATACATACATACATACATACATACATACATACATACATACATACATACATACATACATACATACATACATACATACATACATACATACATACATACATACATACATACATACATACATACATACATACATACATACATACATACATACATACATACATACATACATACATACATACATACATACATACATACATACATACATACATACATACATACATACATACATACATACATACATACATACATACATACATACATACATACATACATACATACACATGCACTCATACGTTCACGTATGCACATGCGCGATGGTGTATGGATGGGAATTTGCGTGATCATAACGAATTCCACCCGTACTGAACGCATGCACGCACGTTGGCAACAGCTTACTCTCATCTGCAGCTTCATTCTGGCATGCACCGAACCGTTTTGTACCTCCCTGCACACCTGGACGTTCTCCAACCTGTATGCATGCAGGAGGGAGTGTCCTTAGCACGCCTGGACGCTCGGGCTTCACGTGTTTCAGCAGCCGTTGAAAGTGTGGAGCGATTAATATGCACTGAACCGTTCTGTACCCCTCTGCGCCCCGGTTCCTTCAACCATTTATGCATGCAGGAGGGAGTGTCCTTGTTGAGAGAACGCCTGGACGCTCGGGCTTCACGTGTTTCAGCAGCCGTTGAAAGGGTGGAGCGATTAATATGCACTGAACCGTTCTGTACCCCTCTGCGCCCCGGTTCTCCAACCTGTATGCATGCAGGAGGGAGTGTCCTTGTTGACAGAACGCCTGGACGCACGGGCTTCACGTGTTTCAGCAGCCGTTGAAAGGGTGGCGCGATTGATCTATGGTATGGCTTGGCGTGGGGCATGAAAGTCACTTGTGAATAATAATATGTGCATGCACACAAGGCTCGCTTCACATGTGTATGGATGCACGACAGATGGATGAAATGAAAATGCGTTGTAGAAAACAATTTTTCCGCCATTCTTCTCTTGTTGTGCATTGTAGCTGCCTTTTATATTTCTCCCTGGTTCCGTATTAAGCACACGGTCTGCTGCGTCCGTTGTCTGGCCTCCCATCATTGCTTTTCTTTTCCCAATGCGATCCTGCCTGTGCATTCCTCATTCTAAATAAAAAGCTCCTATCCACCCTGGCTATTGTTTGAAGCATCTCAGAAGTTGTCTTGTCTCTGATTGTTCTTTCTGTTTTCTCTCGGACACCTCCGATTTCCAGATCCACACCCTGGCTTGGTCTGGCCTGGCTGCCATTCAGATGCAGGCAGCAGCAGCAGCAGCAGCAGCAGCTCTGGCCGCAGCAGTGAAAGCAGGAGCAGCTGGTTGAGCAAGGAAATTACTGCTGGTGCTGCTGGCACTGCTGGTGCTTTGGGGAAAGTCGATGGTGACAGAAGGTCTGAGCTGCCGGGGTGCATACTGCAGAGCGACAGCAGGCAGGCGAGGGACTATGTGGAGGCGGCAGGGTATGACTACTTTGAGAAGAACGGCCGCTCCCTGCCCTTCTGGATGGCCTCTAAGGCCATTAACCAGTGAGTGGGGGAAGGCGGGGGGGGGTGCTGGTGGTGGCGTGGGTGGGGGGAGGCCGTGGGGAAGGGGAGGCGGAGTGGGGACTATGTGGAGGCGGCAGGGTACTATTGCTTTGAGAGGAACGGCCACACCATTCCCTTCTGGATGACCTGTAAGGCCATCAACCAGTGAGTTGAGGGTTGGCGGGTGGTGGTGGTGTGAGGGGGAAGGCAGTGGGGTGTGGAAGAGGGGGGGGGGGGGGGGGGGGGGGGGGGGTAGGGGGAGGGGGAATGGGCAGGGTATGACTACTTTGAGAAGAGCTGCCGCACCCTGCCCTTCTGAATGGCCTCTAAGGCCATCGACCGGTGAGTTAGGTTGTTTTTAGTTTGTTTAGTTTGTTTTTTCTGCCCCTTTTTTTTCTTTTTGTTTGGTTAATGGCCTGTTCCAATTCAGTGTGGCTCCTTAGGCCACACCATGCGCTTCTGAAGGGGGAAGGGGGAGGGGGGTGGGGGGGTGGGGTAAAATATGTAATTCCATTTTGTTTAGCCATTTATTGAATGACACCCAGCGCCAATCCAGTATGTCTCTTTTGAAAGCAACAAGCCCACCATGCTGTTCTGAATGGCCTCCCTAGGCTATCAGTCAGCGAGTCCCCCTATCTCCACCCCCTCCCCATGTGCCAATATGTATGTACCACACTCCCACGCTCATTCCTCCTCTTTCTCCCGCCCCCTTCCTCCCTCTTCTTACCCCTTCCTCCCTCTTCTTACCCCTTCCTCCCTCTTCTTACCCCTTCCTCCCTCTTCTTACCCCTTCCTCTCTCCCTCTCCCCCGCGCTCCCTTCCTCCTCCTTCTATGGCTGCCAACCGCCATGGCTACCGCTATGTGAATCAGGATAAATTCGCGGGCTTTTTGAAGTCGCTTTGAGACTCTTCCTCTCTCAACCCCCCACCCCACCAATGGCTGCCAGGCTCTACGCCAACCGCCACACCTACCGCTACGTGACTCGGCTTACAACGGGACAGGCAGGCGTTTTTTCAAGTCGTTTCTAAACTCTTCCCTCTTCCTCTCTCTCCCTCTCTCCCTCTCTCCCTCTCTCCCCTCCACCAATGCCTGTCAGGCTCTACGCTAACCGACACGGCTACCGCTACGTGAACCAAGACACGGGGGAATACAACGAAACTCGCCATCCATCATGGCTCAAGGTGTGTTGCATGCTGCGGCAGGGGTAACCAACCATTCCGGTGTATGGACGTTTCCCGTATTTGAGTATTGTTCCCGGCTTTTGTTTTTTAGATCCCTGGTTCTAAACCACGCCTCTCATCCTAGCCCCACCCTCTCATCCTAGCCCCACCCTCTCGAAAGCAACTCAGTCATACCCTCCTGCCTCGAAAGCAACTCAGTCATACCCTCCTGCCTCGAAAGCAACTCAGTCATACCCTCCTGCCTCGAAAGCAACTCAAGAAACCACCGACTCCTTTCACTTGCCTCACCGACTTCCTCTCTCCTCCTGCTTTTCGCCCCATTCGCCATTCAGCTGCTGTTCATTCGGGATCAACTGCGCTGCTGCTGCACCTGGGCCTTCTATCTCGACTCAGATGCTCTGTTTCTGCTCAGACTCACCTGTGTGCCGCTTGCCTCACTAGCGTTCCCTCAACCCGCTCGCTCTCCTCTCCTCCCTCCCACTTCCCCTCCTTTTCCACTTGGCCGTGCAGCTGCTGTTCATTCGGGATCAGCTGCGCTGCTGCTGTGCCTGGGCATTCTATCTCGACTCAGACGCTTACTTCCGAATGGATAACCACCGCCTTCCCATCGAAGCCTGGCTTGCTGGCTTGCCCTTCACGGTCAGTACCCATCCCCCTCGCAGGGTCAGTACCCATCCCCCTCGCAGGGTCAGTACCCATCCCCCTCGCAGGGTCAGTACCCATCCCCCTCGCAGGGTCAGTACCCATCCCCCTCGCAGGGTCAGTACCCATCCCCCTCGCAGGGTCAGTACCCATCCCCCTCGCAGGGTCAGTACCCATCCCCCTCGCAGGGTCAGTACCCATCCCCCTCGCAGGGTCAGTACCCATCCCCCTCGCAGGGTCAGTACCCATCCCCCTCGCAGGGTCAGTACCCATCCCCCTCGCAGGGTCAGTACCCATCCCCCTCGCAGGGTCAGTACCCATCCCCCTCGCAGGGTCAGTACCCATCCCCCTCGCAGGGTCGGCACCCATCCCTCTCGCAGGGTCGGTACCCATCCCCCTGGCAGCGTCTGTGCTCACCTGACTGACTCTTATGCTGCCTCATCAAGGCTTTCTATCTCGACTCAGATGCTTATTTCCAAATGGACAACCATGGCCTTCCAGTTGAAGCCTGGCTCGCAGGACTGCCCTTCACGGTCAGTACCCTACCCACCCCACTGGCTCGCCCTTCCAGCAGCACCAAATGCTCTAATACGAACACACATACCATCCTCGCATCCTTTGTCTACCCCATGAGCCGTTGCTTCCCTGCCTGTTGCCTTCTTCTCCTCCCTCCCTGCTTCCTCTCCTCCGGCCCACTCCCTTCAACTGGCCTCTGCACCCCACCAGGGAGCGTTCAACTGGATAAGAGATCGCTACGGCACTGACCTCACCAATCAGACGTGGATGCCGCAGTTCCCCATTGCCCTGCTGGATCCTCCTCCTGCTGACGTGGCAGCCTGCAGCCAATCATCCACTGCTCCTTGCGCAGAGCAGCCCTCAGAGGAGCTGATTGGTCTGTTCGCCCGGAATTCAGGGGAGGAGAATGGCGCGCCGTCTGCTCTGTTCAACACCTCTTTGGAGTCAATCAATGCGGGGGTCATGCTGCTGAGGCGCTCCCCGCTTACCTTGCAGGTGGGTGCCCACCATTGGAATGTCTCAACCAAACGGGGTCCGACGGTGGTCGACGGAGCGTCGACCACCGTCGACCTGACCGACGGGCAGAAAAATACTAAAACCCCATTGGATGGCATGCCATCCGAGGGAGGCATCAACCCTAAATCCATGCCTCCCCGTGTTTAGGGTTGATGCCTCCCCGACCGGATGCATGCCCGTCTGGGGTTTATTTTTTTTGCCCGCAGGCAACGACCTCCCCCAGGCGGACTCGCTTGTCGGCTGAGCTATACTAAGAGGTTCAAGTCTTCTCAGCAATTTGGGGCAGCTGTTCTTTTTAATGCCCCTTTCTAGTCGATCAATGTGGGGGTCGTGCTGCTGAGACGCTCCCCGCTCACTTTCCAGGTTCGCACCCATTCTTGCTTTGAGGTTCCCCAAGAGCGCGATCTTGCTGCTCTCTTCAATGCCTCTTTGGAGTCAGTAAATGCGGGGGTCATGCTGCTGAGGCGCTCCCCGCTCACTTTCCAGGTGGGCGTCATTTTTTGTCTCGATGCTCCAGCTCTTTGTTCAATGCTTCTCTCTAGTCAATTAATGCAGGGGTCATGCTGCTGAGACGCTCCCCGCTCACTTTCCAGGTGGGCGACTAGTGTCCAGCGTTGTTCCTTAGGAGCAAACCATGAATAAACCTTGAGACATGTTCCATGCCCTTCCGTATGGCGCTTCTCTAGGATTGATCACAGTGGGGAGGATGTTGTTAGAACGAGTCCCTCCTATCTCTACAGGTGCCCTTCTCTCATCAGGTGCCCGTCAGGGTCCTTTTCAGGTGGTGTTCCTGTCACGTGCCGGCTTGCATAGCACGCATGCCATCTTGTCGCTCCCCCTTGCAGAAAAGGACTCTGCGGTGCTCTTTCCCTACCCTATGTGTGTCGTTCGTTTCCCTCCTTGCTAACTGGCAACATGAATCCGTAGTTTTTCTTGCTACGGTTTTCTTCACATATGCTCCCTTTGGCTCCCTTTCCCCTTCACCACCCTCTCCCCCTCCCCTCCTCCCCCATTTTCCTCCCTACTTGCATGTGTTTTGATTGTTTCCCTTCCCCTTAGTTTTTGGACACTTGGTATAACGAGGAGCCTTCTAACCGCCATTTACAGGAAGCCACATGGGAGCAAAACCGTCTCAACCGCATTGCACCACTCTTTGCAAAACACCTGGTGGTCGTGCCGTACCTGGAGCTCACTGGTCCGGAGGGTCGTCAGGTTCGGCATGTGTGGTCGATGGTGGGTCGGCATAGGGATGAGACACTGAGGGCTGCTTTATTGGGAGCGTTATTGGCAAACGAGGTGGCGACAAAAGAGGATGATTGGACTCCAAAAGGGGTAGTTGATAAGTGGGCAAACGATGAGATGAATGCTCGGCAATAGATGTGAGGTCAAGCTCTAAAATGTAATTTTCTAGTTTAGTCTAGATAGGCGCGTTATTCAGACAACTGAGGCACTCTGCAGCGAGAATTTAAGGAGGCTTGCAGAACCGGACGTGCAGTCCAGTTTGTTTCCCCTTGCACCAGCAACGGCTTTCCGCCAAGCGGTTCGGAACCATCCCTCCATGTTTGGCGCCACAGACTCCCTCATCCATGTTCGAGAATGAAGCGGAACGAACGGCAGTATGGGATTGGTGGAGCGGAATCACGAAACAATTTGGGATTGGGTGGGTGGTGTGGGTTGTGGCTGGCATTCGAGCACCAGACATTCTGCATGTGGGTTGTACTGTACAGTACGTTTACTATAGCGGGAGAAGGTTTTGCGTTCTGAACTCGTTTGGATTGCGCTCGATTGAAGCCGTTCACTTGCTCACAATAGTTGTCCAGTGCACACAAGGATGCATGGGGGAGAGGAGAGGGGAGAGACGAGCAGCAGCAGCAGCTTCTATGGCGCACGGAGGGGCAAGCAGCAGATAGCCAAGCCCAAGGTTGTGTCTTCCCAACGAAGATTGCGTTTCACGCCGCTTTGACGACTGGATAATGCACGATAGCATACCCTGAGAACCACCCTTGAATTCCGCTGCTTCGTTGGGAGAATCTCTTTTTGAGTCCTGCTGATGCTGGTTCAGCATCGTAGTACGTTGTACTGTAGGGTTCCGAGGTACCGATTATTTGCGCGCTCCTACCAGTTCTCAGGGCAAACTAAGTAGGTGTGCCAGCGAGTCGTCAGATATCGCGTCGCTTTTTTCTCGCATCTTCTTGGCCTTGTTAGAACCGGCAATTCTTTAGGTATTTCCAACCATAGCCAAGCCGGCGGATGACACTTTTAGTACCGCTTCTCAGCTTGATTTTTGACGCACTTCGAGAATCGTCTCGTATCGTCTCAGCCATGGTCGGATGACGCTTTCTGTTGATAATTCCTGCTTCTCCGCTCGTCCATGGCCCACATCTGCTTCAGCGGCCACTCCTGTCACGCATTGACACGTGTCTGCTTCATCTATCAATCCACTCCTCGTTATCCTTCCAAGGTACTAGCCATTTGGTCTACAAGCGTCGCTGAACCGTTCGATCATTCTAGTACGTGTCCCTCCCTAGATTTCTTAGAATCTCGAGAGTAGTATGGCAAGGCGATTCTCTACTGGCGGCTCAGCTAGTCTGCATCAGCCTTCGGCTCGTCCTGTCAGCGGCGTATCAGGCATATCCTATCTTTCACTAGTTCGCAGCCTCGGTTTCTAGTCCGGAATTTGGTAAGCAGCGTTAGCGGAAGCGACGGTCTGCCGCCAAGAAGTGTATAAATTCGCACTACTGCGTCTGTGCGTAATTGAGCTTTGAAACAGTCAGGCACCTGCTCGTCGGAATGGATTCTAGAATTTGAAAGGAAAAATGGGAATAAATAAATGCGAGTGTCTGAATTCTTCGCTGCGGTTGCTTGTGCTTGAACATTGCCTCTGTGATCCGAGTAGTACCTGCGAGCACGATAACTGAGAACTCTTAAAACGCTCCTGCTGTGCGTGCGTGCGCTTCAACCCAGCGATTTCTTCTGATAATACCTTTTAGCACGGAGGTAACTCCCTGTGTTCATATTAACTACTACCAACAAGTGCGCTGTTTCCGTCTCTCTCTTTAGATAACTCCGTACGGTTCGTTTCCTGCCAAATTCCTCGTCTGCAGGTGTGCCGGCCTGGCGTGACGCCTAGCCGTCAATCTGGTCTCATTCAGCCGGTCTGCCGTTTGAATTCGTTCGCCAAATTCACGTCCTCCTTGTCTGCGACCCATTTGAAAAGATCGCAAGGGCAATCCGGCAGGAAAGCAATCGCAAAATTCGTACAGGCAGCAGCACGGTCAGAAACAGTGGCATCAGCAAAACAAACATCTGCAGCAGCAGCAGAACCCTCACCACCAGCACCACAAGCAGCAGCAGTAGCACCAGCTGTAGCAGCACCAGCATCAGCAGCAACAGCAGTAGCATCTGCTCGTGTGACGTCAGCAGCAGGCACACTGCTGCTAGCAGCATCAGCAGCGCTCACAGCAGCGGCAGCAACTCCAGCGGCAGCGCTCGCAGCGATTCAACTGGAAGCATCCCAATTGGGAGTGGAGTTGCAAGAGGGAGCGCTACAGGTGGGACACACAGCAGCCGATTCAGTTGGTACAGCCGTGACTGGAGCTGCAGCAGCAGCAGCTGAAACATTGGCAGCCGCAGCCCCACAAGCAGCGGCAGCAGCAGCAGCAGCAGCAGCAGAATCAGTTATGGAATCGGTTACATCTGTCCTGGCAGGCCTGCCGTCCATGGGGTTTGGCATCGGGCTGTCGCGTCAAGTCGGCATCGCCCTTGCCCTCACTCTCGTTGGCAGCCTGAGCACGGCTCTCGGTGAGTCCAATCGAACCCTCGTGTTTACAAACAAGAACACACTCACCTACGCTCACTCTCGTTGGCAGCCTCAGCACGTCTCTTGGTGAGAACTCTGTATGACATTCCAAACGTTTGTCTCGAATTGAAACGCATCATCCTGCACGCGCACTCTCGTCGCCAGTCTGAGCACAAACAGCCCTGTTCCTCTCGTATCCGTATGCATCATAATCGTCTCGTTGCATGCATTAGCTCGTCCTTGCATCCCATGCCCTCCCATCTCCTTCAATTTCCTCCCACCTCCTCCCACCCACTCCCACCCCCTTCCACCCCCTCCCACCTCCTCCCACCAGGCGGTGCTCTCGTGGTGCTTCAAACTGTGCCTGATATCAAGCGCCTTGGCCTCTTGCAGGTACTCTGCACCATACCCTTCTGCACCATACCTCACCGCACCTCACCCCACCTCGCCTCATCACACGTCACCCACACGGACTGTCACGTTGGTTGACTCGTGCCTGAAACCATCCGTGTCATTCAGCATCCCCGTTCCCTAACCTACCCACGCTCTCCCCCTTTCCCTCCCCTGCCCTTGCCCCCTCTCACACCTCCCCCGCCCCCACCTTCCTCTGCTACCCAGGGCCTTGCCAGCGGGTTCAAGCTGAGCCTTATATTTTTTAACCTCGTGCTAAGCCGTCCTGCATCCCCTTCCTTCTCCATCCCCCCCTACACATACACCCACCCATGGCCCACCCGCACCTTCCTTGTGTTCATTCAGGGCTTTGCCAGCGGGTTCATGCTAGCCGTCCTGCATCCCCTTCCTTCTCCTCCATCCACCCTCCCACACCCATACACCCATACACCCATCCAACCCCGTCTTACGTCTGTTGATTCAGGGCTTCGCCAGCGGGCTCATGCTGAGCCTCACCTTCTTTGACCTCGTGCCAGAAGCCATTGAGGCTATCGGCTTCCCCGCTGCCAACCTATGGGTACGTCCCCTGCTTGCTCATTCGAGTAAATGCTTCTGGGTTAAGTGGGTGGGTGGGTCTAAGGGTCCTCCGCTACTGCTGCTCCTTTTGAGTCCGCTTGAAATGACTCTTGAGTCAACTTGCCATTGCTTTTGAGCTGACTAAAAAAAAGAACAAGTTTTTGCCGTTCCTCTGCCCTTTCGCAAATTTTCTCCTTTCCCACTCTCTCTCCTCTTTCTCTACCCAGTTGCCCCCGCCCTTTCACCTATTTACTCTTCCTCTGTCACTCTCTTTCCCCTTTGCCCCACTCTTGTTGTGCCTCACACAGTTCTTTGCAGGAGCGCTTCTCTTCGCAACGGTTGTGCACTTTGTTCCCGAGCCTTCCCTCGCACCCGAGCCATCTGTAACTCCCGAACCATCGTCCGAACCTCTATTGAAATACGCATCCGACCCCGTATCCGAACCTACGTCTGAGCCTGTATCCGAACCTACGTCAGACCCTGTGTCCGAACCATTCACGGAGAGGCAGCGGACAGACCAACCTTTTCAGCCACCAGCAGCATCAGTTGTAGCGCCAGCTGTAGCAGCACCAGCAGAAGCAACAGCAGCAGCACCAGCAGGGGCAACAGAAGCAGCACCAACAACAGCAGCAGCACTGACACCATCATCATCATCATCAGCAGCAGCAGCACTGACACCAACAGTGACACCACCACTACCGGACTCACCCCCTCCACTCATCCGGAAACAAACACTCGCCCAGCTCAATTCCCCCTCCGCCTCCTCCTCCTCTTCGTTCTACCTCCCTTCCTCCCTCTCCTCCCTAGATCTCACCCAAGCCTTAGGCTCGGAAAGCCCCGAGTTGGACCCGAATCGAGCTGCAGGTTTGGCAAGAGCTGGCCCAGTGGAGCATCCGAACCTGGTCCAAGGCTCAGGCTCGGACAGCGATAGAGACAGTCGTGTGGAGCATTGGCTGAGTGGGATCAAAAGCAGCGAGTCGGATAGCCGTGATGGCGTGGGGAGTGGACAAATAGATTATACTCGAGTGGAAAGGGGAGGAGAGAAAGGGGTGGAGGGGGTGGGGGAGGAGAGACAGAGATTTAAGGTTGGGACAGATGAGAAAGGAGCAAGTGGTGAGAGCAGGGATCAGGTAAAGGGAGTGTGGAGAAAAGGAAGTTGGGAGGAAAGGGAGGGGCGAGGGACGAGGGATGGGGAGAGAGAGGTGGGGGAGAGAGAGGTAGGGGAGCGGGAGATGCAGCGGCGGCGGCAAGCGGTGCTGTGGAGTGGAGTGATCACAGCGCTGGGCATCAGCCTGCACAACTTTCCTGAAGGCATCGCTGTGTTTTTGGGTTCCATGAAGGTGAGGAGAGGGGAAGGGTGTTACTTTTGTGTGGAGTGGGGGAACGGGGGTGGGGAAGGGAAGGCAGCAAGCGGTGCTGTGGAGTGGAGTGATCACAGCGCTGGGCGTCAGCCTGCACAACTTCCCTGAAGGCATTGCCGTGTTTCTTGGGTCCATGAAGGTGAGGAGGAGTTGAGAGGTGTTGTGACTGGTGTATGAAGGTGGGGGAGTGGGGTGGAGAAGGTAACGCGGCAATCGGTGCTGTGGAGTGGAGTGATCACAGCGCTGGGCATCAGCCTGCACAACTTCCCTGAAGGCATCGCTGTGTTCCTGGGGTCCATGAAGGTGAGAGGGAAGGAGGTACTGGGGGTGCTGGGGATACCGGGGGTGCTGGGGATACTGGGGGTACCGGGGGTACCGGGGGTGCTGGGGGTACTGGGGGTACTGGGTATGCCGACGGTAATGGGGTGCTTGGAATATTGGTGTGCAGGGATGACTGACTGGTGTGTGTTATCAGTATAGATTTGCTGCCATTTCCTCATTCCACCACCTGCCAGCACGGCTCCCCTCTTCCTTCCACTTTTCAACTCCTTCCCCCCTCCTCCGATTCCTCTCTCCTCCCTTTCCCTCCCCGTCCCCAACCCCTGCGGCTTAAGAGTGGTCATCACTCTCGTGCTCGCCTCCCCTCCCCTCGCCTCCCCTCGCGTCGCCTCGCCTCCCCTCCCCTCCCCTCGCCTCGTCTCGCCTCGTCTCGCCTCGTCTCGTCTCGCCTCGCCTTCCATCTCCTCCCCTTCCTGCTCCCTTCTCTTTCCCTCCCCTTCTCCCTCTCCCCAGGGTCTGCGGGTGTGCATCAGCCTAGCAGTGGCCATAGCACTGCACAACATCCCAGAGGGCCTTGCAGTCGCCCTCCCCATCTGCTTAAATGCGTTCCCCCTTCCCTTCCCTCTCCTCTCCCCCTCTCCCCAGGGCCTAAGAGTGGGCATCAGCCTAGCAGTGGCCATAGCATTACACAACATCCCAGAGGGCCTTGCAGTCGCCCTCCCCATCTACTTCGGCACGAGAAGCCGCTGGGCCGCCTTCCGAGCGGCGGCTCTCTCGGGGGCTGCGGAGCCCCTGGGGGTCATCTTCGTTGCTCTCTTCTTCCCCGCCTCGCTCGCCCCTGACCTTATTGAAGGGCTTCTTGCCGGCGGTACGTGCCCTACTCTCACCTCCCCCTTTTGGGAAGCCGCTGGGCGGCCTTCCGAGCTGCTGCTCTCTCCGGTGCCGCGGAGCCCCTGGGGGTCTCTTTTGAGGAGCACAGTGAGGAGCACACTCACTGGGTGGTCTCTTCTTGTGGCTCCCTGGGTGGTCTTCGTTGCTCTCTTCTTCCCCGCCTCGCTCGCCCCGGACCTCATCGAAGGGCTGCTGGCTGGAGGTATGTTCTCTGCTCCCGCACTCTCCACCCCCTCCTCCAACCCCCAACCCCCCCTCTACTCTGTTTTCCACCCCCATCTCTACCCTACCCTGGGGGTCGTCTTCGTCACTCTCTTTTTTCCGGCCTCGCTCGCCCCGGACCTCGTTGAAGGGCTGCTCGCTGGTGGCACATCTTTTGCTCTCTCCACCCCCCTCTCCACCCTCTTCTATAACCCCCGTCTCTACCCTGGGGGTCGTCTTTGTGGCCCTCTTCTTCCCGGCCTCGCTGGCCGCGGGCCTCATTGCAGGGCTGCTCGCTGGTGGTGTGTGCTCCTCACTGTGCTCCTCACTGTGCTCCTCACTGTGCTCCTCACTGTGCTCCTCACTGTGCTCCTCACTGTGCTGGTTTTCCCGGTTGTGCTGTCTGTGCTGTCTGTGCTGTCTGTGCTGTCTGTGCTGTCTGTGCTGGCATGATGCTTGTGCTGCCTCATCCACTCTGCTTGCAATGACTGTGCTTGCTTCTGCATCCTTGTGCGTCCCCCTCCATCCCTCTCCATCCCACTCCTTCCCCCTGCACCTCTCTCCACCCCTCTGCACCCCTGTGCATGCAGTGGGCGGCATCATGGCGTTCCTCGTGCTGCATGAGATGCTGCCTCTCGCCTTTGAGTACGCGGGCCATCGCAGGGCAGTGCTGGCCATGTTCCTGGGCATGGCTGTCATGTCTGCCAACCTGCACCTTCTCGCCCTCTCCCTTCCGCCAGACATCTCCCTCTGACCAGCTGCCATTGGGCATCTGGTTGGAACAGCCATACCCATCCCATGGGCCATCGCATGGCCGCACCTCCTTGCACTCTCCCTCCCCCCCGACCCAGACATCTCTTTGTAACCAGCCATCTCATCTTGCCATCACTCCTACCCACTCTCTCGATCGCTCGTTCACTTACTCTCCCGCTCCCACTGGCGTCTGTCGGTCGGGAGAATGCTGGCCGCACTTCCTAGGCCACCCGTTACCCCCTTGGCTTCCTGCGCCTGCTTTGACGATACACGTTTGTCTAGGCAATGATGTAGCTGCTTATCGTGTTGTGTTGGCTATGAGCGTTGTGCACAATCACTGGTGGACTGCTATTGCCCCCGTGGTGCATATTCGCTGCATAATATGCCCATCTTCCTTGTAATATACTAGCCTATGTACCAGTGTATGTCTTTGTGCTCTAACGTATTTCCTTGTATATTTTTCGTAATAAACTAGATACTTCTATATCGGGGTGTAGTTGCGCCCGTCCTTTACCGAGTTCGTGTAATACAGGGGAATATTTTTGTCGTGCAGGGATCGGGCGACAGGCGGAGCGCAAACCACACTTCCAAATTCGTAATCAAATCCGCTCTTGTCGACTTTGCCTTCCAGTAATAAATGGCCAGCCCTCAAAATTTGTTTCACTGCTGCCCTGGCATTCCGTCAACGCTACCTCGACACCGCGGCAATACAGTGGTGGCGACCATGTGATATGGTTGGCATAGTGAATCCGTTGTCTCGAAGTACACCTAACCACCGCTATTTTCTTTCGGTCTATTTTCAACCCCCACGTGCGCAAAGGGGTATGCACCCCTCAAACATTTTTTACCAAGGGTTGTGTCGGACGTCATACGCTCTACGCAGAGTTAGTTCCTGACTCCTGAAAGCTGCGCAATGGGATGCGCAACAGGAAGCAGACTCCACACGAGCGGAAATTGTCTTACACTCGCCCGATTAAAATCTCCAGCGTCCAGCATTTGACGTCATTCGTAGTCCCCCATACCGAGGTTTCTAACAGAAAACCCCGAAAGCTGGGCAGGGTTTATATGAAAATCGGGAACAGTGCCAAGGTGGGAAGTTGAAAATAGCGGTGGCTAGGTGTAGAAGTAATTTGTAAAGCGTTGTGTGTTGACGGTGTCTGCCTGTCTGTAGTGTATTGCATTTTTAGAACGCCACTGCTGGCCGTTGACCATTTTTCAGAACAGCTAGCTTGGCATGTGTATAATTCGTGCTCTACTGTAATCAAACCCTCGTGACGACAGCTGTGCAAGGTGTCTGCTTCCTCCGTAACTTCTCCACCACTCCTCAGTGCAGTGCAGATTTTACATGACACAAAATCCTCTACAAAGATTATTGTCCTTTCAAAGCTCTACTGTGAGAACCAGTTTCACATGTTCCTAGGGAGGGGGCATTGCCGTTACCATGTTCTTTATTAGCGAAACCTGTCATGATGTTGCCATGATGCGACGCCCGCTCTCCAAGTCGGCGAGTTTCGCAGGCTGGAAGTTGCTTTTCGAGATAATCATAACAAGCCAGCAAGGATACAGATCAAAGAGCATTACCCAATTGTACACTTACCAGCGGGTTTTACCGAATGTCCATGTAGGTAGCAGGAGCTCGTGTAATGTCAGGTGCCTCAACTAAGAAACAACTGTGCTACCCACTCGTCCACCGTGCAAACACTCGAAGATCCTTTTTTGTCAAGTGTAGTATATCTGGATGTTTTACCCCACCCATGCGGGGTACTATAGAGTTGTGACCCTCAACCCATCTTTCCGGTTCAAAATCCGCAGTCCAAATTCACGCTTAGGAGCAGAAAGGGAGTTTAGAGAAAGGGGTTTTGTGGGAATAGAGAGAAAGGGAGACATGCAACCTATTGTAGGCAGGAAGTTGGAGCAGTGGGTAGGGTGTAGGGAAACTGTGCTTTTCTTATACTGCATTTCCAGCTCTTTGCGGAAAATACCACTTCTTGTTTAGTTCAAGCCTAGTAGTTTTGAGTAGAACAGTGGAATGCTGTCCCCCGGCCTAACAAGAGAACTGAAACTTGAACACGAAGTTCAAACAGGTTAGAACTAAACAGCTCGAACTGGACAGTGCTGCAAATTTTCTTGTTTCTGAAACTGTAAGGGATTCAGTGTGTACCCAAACAATGAGGCGTACAGCCATAAAGCAGGTTCTTGCAGGGTGAACGGAAAAACAAATCCTGATTCCACAAACCTGGGAAAGAATAATGTTCGGCCATGTCTAGCTGGTGATGCCAACCATACGCACTGCAACTGCACTTCATCCAGCTTTCCCTTCCGGGAACTTATACAGGAAGTCACAGTTCTTTCCGGTTTATTACGTTTGGTCACAGGAGTATTACAAACAGTCATAGTAATGTAGATTTCTATTGCGCGTGATCACAGCACTCTCACGCTTGATCACACCTTGCCCCGCTTACCTGACACGTTTGGTCACAGATGAAACGCTCAATAAGAATATGAAACTACTCAAGATGCTGTAGGGATTCAGTGAAATTTCGCTCGCTCGCGCATTTTGTCCGTAGCATTATATCCCAGATATCATATTTTCATGGGTGAAACTCCTAAATTCTATTTTGCAGTTCCTGGAAAAAAAATTACATGAAACCCTTTCGGAATTATTTTTTTCTGGAGGCATCAACACTAAAATCCTTTTCGCATGATTAATGCTTCCCGAAAGGGCATGCTATCCAATAGGGGGTTATTTTGTTTTTTCTGTTCTGAATGTTAGGCGAAAATCATGTGCGAGGCAACAAGCAATCAAATCTAAGACGCAAACAGTCGAACGGGGGGCCAGGTTGGGCGTGGATTTTTAGGAAGTCGATGGCAACGTTGTTTTGGAAAACATATACGGATTTGGTAGTGACTTTTTTTCGGGAGTAACAACCTTTCGCAGTTCTACGGGCAAAAATTCGCAGTCCTAATCTCTACACTGACGTGAGTAGTTGCATTTCTCAATTGGGCGTTTCATCTGCGACCAAACGTGATAGAGTTGCGGGGCAAGGTGTGACTATCCGTGATAGCACTGTGATCACACGCGATAGAAATCTGCTGTACTGACTGTTCATGATACCCCTGTGATCAAACGTATAAACCGGGCAAAATTGTAAATTTCCCGAATAATTCCCCTTCACTCCCTCTACTCCCCTCCCTCCCCATTGCCCTCAGGATCGTTTTCTGGCTCTGCACGGCACCAAGATGCGGCCACACAATTCCACCTGAAGCGGATGCGCAAATTGCGTCGCTGGCTGATTTGTGGGGGGCAGCTCCCTCCCCCACCCTCTCCCCTCCCCGACTCCCTTTCCAAAACCTCCACCCTCCACCGCCACTCCTCTCCCCCCATCCTCCCATATTCCATCTCCAACTGGGCCAGCCTAGCGATGCCAAACCTGAAAGGTGGATGGAACCCTTTGCTTTGCTGCTTCACAGCGTTAGCACCACTGTACGTTGAAAAAAGTCGACCTTACGCGCCGCCCTGCGATACGAGGGACTCGACGTGCGTTGGCTCAATCTTGATTGTGACTCCGCGTGCGGCTCGATCGGGGCTAATTATCTTCCAGGATGCGCGTGCGCTCTACTATTACTCTTCCATAGATTGGAAAGCAGATTGCTCATAAATTTGTTTTCCGAAGAGTCGTCTTCTAAATGTGCCACATTTTGTGCTACCGTGCCATGAAAACCGCTACTAGTTCTAGTTCCGAGGCGAGCATCCAACTTAGTAGTAGCAGTCCCGAGAGGCATCATCTTGTGCAGCAGCAGCAGCAGCAGCAGCAGCAGCAGCAGCAGCAGCAGCAGCAGCAGCAGCAGCAGCAGCAGCACGACATCAAGAGGAGCAACAAGTGCAGCAGCAGCCGCACGAGCATGCGCATGCCCGCGATCACAGCGCCGTGATCCATTCTCCAACAGGATGGACCCTACCTACTATTAGGGTTTCGCCTGGCGAATCCAGTTCAGAGATTGCACATGCTGACGTGGAGTTGACACCAGCGCCGAACATGGGCCTGAACCAGGATCATCGCCTGGTTGGGAACCACGTGGCGACCGCCCATCAACCTCAACTTGCGCCGCATCATCATGAGGGTTTCAAATGGAAAAAGACTTCTCACAAGCGCATCGTGGGTCAGCAGATTAAAAGGTAGGCCTTTCTCAGGTCCTGCATTGCTCGTAGCATACAACAGTACATCCCAAAAAAGGGGGGGGTGGGGGGGGGGCGGGGGAAGGTATGCTTTCTGCGAGTATGTTCGAGGTATCATGTCGAGCCCAGTGAGGAAAGATACCTTCGACGCTGCGCGTAGAACCTCTAGTATGAACTAGTACTAGTACTCGTAATAGTACTACTAGATTCTGTTACCCTCTAGCATACTGTGACTGTGTCATGGATATCTGCGTGGCCGTGCCACTACTATAGTACACTACAATCACATGCTGTCAGTACCACGTCATCCTTTCGTGCGTGCAGGCTGTACTATGTGTGCGCGTCCAAGCAAGCCACGGGCTGCACGGCAAAGAAGACGGAAGACCGCGTGGCTGGAGAGGCCAGACACCGCCGATCAACCAGCGTCATCGGCCGGCCAAGGCATCACGGCACGGGGACCGTCTCAAAGGCCGCATTCAGAGGCGATTCTGCTGCCAGCGTGTTGGATTCCAGAGAGGGGGCTGGAGATCATGCAGTGGGAGGGATGAGAGATGAGAAGGAGACTGGCAACGCGGAGATCCCAAGGACTGAGATGCGCGTGGTGGTGAGGACTGTATACCACGGCTCGCATAACCACCCGCCACCACCTACCGATCTTTCTACCTCCCGCCTCGTTTGCTCCTCGTCTGCCTGCCCTGCTTCTGCGACCGGCGTTTCTGCTATGAACCTCGCTCCAATTACAGGGCCTGGCCCTGCTGCTACAACCTGGACCCCTGTTCCTGCATCGCCTCCCGCTCCAGCCTACGCTCCTGCTACATCCTACGCGCCTGCTACAGACTTGGCGTCTGCTACAGCCTTGGCGTCTGCTACAGCCTTGGCGTCTGCTACAGCCTTGGCGTCTGCTACAGCCTTGGCGTCTGCTACAGCCTGCACCTGTCCTGCTGCTGGTACAGCCTGTGCACCTGCTCTTGATGCACTTCCCCTGCCTGATGTATCGGGCACTCCTCCGTTAAGTAACCAGTCATCTGCTGCAACGTCATTCGCCACTGCTGCATCACCATGCGCTCTTGCTACGTCCGGTGCTCCTCTAATATCCTCTGCACCTCTCATGACCAGCACTGCCCTTGGTGCTACGGCCCGTGTTCCTGCTGTTCCTACACCCTCTTCTTACGCCGTCACCTGTCTTCCTGCAATGAGCCACCCTCAGCATGTTGAAAATCCTGTGGCATATGGAGCAACCACCCCCCTACGACCCGGTCCTTGCGTCGAAGCTGTCCCGTCTTCAACTGCTCACACACAGCCTTCCAACGCTCCTTACTTGCCACTTAAGAATCTTTTTCTGCCGTGTCACACTTCTAGTAACACCGCGCCGCCGCCTCCTCCATCCCCTTTCCCTCCGTTGCTAGAGCCTTCGTGCACCCGCTTGGCTTGTGACGCGCCTAACGCTCCCCAGCCTTCATTCATTGGAGTCGACGACTCAATGGACACTCAGACAGATCAAGCACGCCCCATGCTTCTTGATCCCACAGCCTCAACGGTGGGGAACCAGCAGAGCCGTGATTCCGACTGCACTGGTTTTCAGCAGCTCAGGCGTCACCAGCAGGAGCAGCAGCAGCAGCAACTTCTGCAGTACCAGCCGCAGCCCAGTGCAGAGCAGTGGCAGCAGCAGCTACAGCCACAACAGCAGCAGCACCAGCGGTACCGCTATCAACAGCAGCAGCAACAGCATCTGCAGCATCACCAGCAGCAGTCGCCGCAGCAACAGTCGCCGCCACCGCTGCAGCAGCAGCAGCAGTGTCAACAACACCACCAACAGCTACACACGCCCTCAGTTCTCCTCTGCGCGGAACATCTTCGTTCCCAGGAGACTCCAACCACCACCGACATAACCACCACTGGCGTAACCATCACTGGCGTAACCACCACTGGCGTAACCAAGTGCGAACCTGACCCTGCAGGCCCTTCTGCAAACCAACTCCCTTGCGACAGTCGAACTGCGGTGCTGCAAAGCGCAGACATCAGCGCAAGAAGCTATGCTGCAACAGCCCCCTCTCCTCATCAACTTACCGGGAAAAGCGAGCCGGTTGAGTACAGCTGGCCTTGCCAACCCACCCTCAACACTGCCAGCTCACCAGCTCTCAACCCTGTGTCAACCCCATTCATGCTGGCTGCTTCTTGTGCAACCACCACCAACCCTGTGGTTACCACTTGTCGGTGTAACACTGGTGCAGCCAAGGTGGAGCCTGGATGCACACCATGCTCTGGTACAGTCTGTCATTCGTTCGAGCCAGCAGGCACGGTCAGTCATTTGATGGAGCCAGAAGGTACGGTTTGTCATACGGACCCCATGCCTGGATGTGGCAGAAATCCCTGGTCGGTGCCTGCCCTGCATGATGTCTGGGCTGCGGAACCGAATACATCATGCGGCGTTCAGCAGAATGCGGCTGATCGGCTGAGCTGCTCTCATCTTCTTTCTTCCCACCAGCGTCTTCAGCCGGAGCCACAGCAGCAGCAGCGGCAGAAGTTGGAGCCGTATCAGCAGCAGCAGCAGCAGCAGCAGCAGCAGCAGTTGGAGCCATATCAGCCGCAGCAGCAGCAGCAGCAGCAGCTGCTGGTGTACATGGCAGATTATGCAGGCAGCACCAGTACCGACAGAAGCAGCAGCACTCCTATACCTGGGCTTCCCAGGCTCCCTGGGCTTCCCACAGGCCATACAACTCTGCATGGGCTGCAAGCCAGTGCAAGGCCCCAGATAATACCGCCTCCTGATTATACAACACATGCACCCGTGAGTGCTAGCACGAGCACGGGCACACTGTCTAGCTTCCAGAATGGCAATAGTCGAACCGACACAGGTCAAATTATTAGGGCTGACAGCATGGGTATGACCATGGGGAGCATGAGCAGCTGCTCCATGGACTCATGCATGCATGCCTCGGCTCCAGATGCATGTTTGGATGACCTTTTCCTGATGCCAGATGACATTGGGTTTGGCAGCGGTGGAGTTGGCATTCAAAGGAGTGATGTTCCGGAAAAGGAATTTGTGATGGCTGCACAGAAACGCTGCAATGACGCTGGCTACGACGTGTTTGAGTGTAGCCAGGAGATGTCGTGTGGGGTGCAGAGGGGTTCGGTGAACTTCCGTTCTCACTCGCATCCCTAATTTTAAGCTTAATGTGAGTAGGTATGTTATTACCAGCTGCTTTGTCTTGAAGGGTCGATATGGCAATGGTAGTGCCTGTTATTGAGGCGCCTCATCCATTAATGGTTATTCTGATGTGGTACCTTCAGAGCGCAAAAAGGATGTGGAAATGTAAGCCAGCTAGTTGTGGACTTGATGGTTTTTATTATTATTATTACTATTGTTATTAATGTTATTAATATTATTATTATTATTATTATTATCATTATTATCATAATTATTATTATTATTACCGTATTATTTTCCCATTATGGCTTTCTTGGCTTTCCGGCTTCCACTTCATTATGGGGAATGTCCCCCATTCTCGAACACGTTTGGCGGCCTGAGATAAGAAATGCTTCTCATGCTCAAAGCATGTCTCATATGGGTGTAATAATGGTGTTGCTTCTAGGACCAGGCCTGGTGTGGCTGTCGAAATACCGGTACCTGCACTGGGGATGCTAGATTGATCCTTATCACCCCAAAAAAAAAAAAAAAGGGCTTCATTTGCACTTTTTCAAATGCATGTGCAGCATGGATGTGGAGGCGGTGTTGTTCTTGGGCCAGGATAGCTGTACCTTCAACTCATCCATGGGATATATGGTACTTACAGTCAGAATTGTGCGTGCAAACTTGGCCCATGTAATTTTGACTGCCCCTTATCTACGTAGCAGGAATGTGTCAATTTGCACATACACTTTTGCATGTGCATACCGTAGTATTGGCTAGGTTGGGTCACTTAGTAGATGGTGCAGGTTTGGTGCATATCACAACGGTATGCCCTCATCCCAGTTCTTTCTTTCATACACCAACAAGGCCCTATCCATCCACGACTGCGCTGAGACAATGAAAAGAACACACAGATGGCCATCCGAGTTCTGCAATTGCCCACAGCCAAGCTTCCATTGAATACAACAATGCACATTTTACAAAGGTAGAATACAACACAAGGCAGAACACTTGCCTTGCCCGGCTAAAGCTTTCCCTGACAATCCACTGACTGCAAATGCATTCTAATTGCCCACCAAGGCTCTTCACTAGCTGTACGGTCAGATTATTCCCAGCTGGTTGCAGTCCAAAATACGGTACCAGCCAATGGGAGCTGCGAACACATCCTGCCTTCTGCTTGTCCGAATACCAAGGGTCACCCCCCCAACACCAAACCTACCCCTCCAGGCCTCACTATGCACCGCACCGCACTGCTCCACCGCACCTGCTGCGGCGCCGCGCCTTCGAAGCCGTCACTCCTACCTCCAAGTGCAAAGGCTCAACCCCACATAGAGCCGGTCATTGGTGCACACGTATCCGTTGTTCAGCTCCGCCAACTTCCAAAGCAGAGCACCTTTTGAGGCACCTCAAAGACACTCCTCCGCTACCTTCGAGTGCAAAGGCTCAGCCCCACATAGAGCCGGTCATTGCTGCACACGTATCCGTTGTTCAGCTCTGCCAACTTCCTTGCGCTGTTCTGGAACTTGAGCGATATGATGCGCGCACAGAAGTCCCCCCGCGTCACCGAGTAGAATGCCAGGCACCGCCGCTTCGACACCGCCAGCTGGCGGCCTCTCATTGGTTGGGCGGAGTGAGACGGAATGAGGGGTGGGAGGCGAGGCAGGGAGGAAGGCGATGGGTGGGAGGAGGTGGTAAGGCCGAGCAGTCTTCCTCGTGTTGAGAAAGACGAGGGAGAGGATGAGGAGGAGGAAGAGGAGGAGGAGGAAGAGGAGGAGGAAGAGGAGGAGGAGGGATGGGGTGGAGGGGAGGAGGGGTGAAGTGGCTGGGAGCTCACGAAGGGAGCGAGGGTTGAATGAGCCCCGGGCATCCACCAGGTACGCATCCACACACACCTGCGATGGGGATGGGTGGGCGTGGAGAGTGAGATGGGTGAATGTACTTCAATGGGGGAGAGTGAGATGGGTGAATGTACTTCAATGGGGGAGAGTGAGATGGGTGAATGTACTTCAATGGGGGAGAGTGAGATGGGTGAATGTACTTCAATGGGGGAGAGTGAGATGGGTGAATGTACTTCAATGGGGGAGAGTGAGATGGGTGAATGTACTTCAATGGGGGAGAGTGAGATGGGTGAATGTACTTCAATGGGGGAGAGTGAGATGGGTGAATGTACTTCAATGGGGGAGAGTGAGATGGGTGAATGTACTTCAATGGGGGAGAGTGAGATGGGTGAATGTACTTCAATGGGGGAGAGTGAGATGGGTGAATGTACTTCAATGGGGGAGAGTGAGATGGGTGAATGTACTTCAATGGGGGAGAGTGAGATGGGTGAATGTACTTCAATGGGGGAGAGTGAGATGGGTGAATGTACTTCAATGGGGGAGAGTGAGATGGGTGAATGTACTTCAATGGGGGAGAGTGAGATGGGTGAATGTACTTCAATGGGGGAGAGTGAGATGGGTGAATGTACTTCAATGGGGGAGAGTGAGATGGGTGAATGTACTTCAATGGGGGAGAGTGAGATGGGTGAATGTACTTCAATGGGGGAGAGTGAGATGGGTGAATGTACTTCAATGGGGGAGAGTGAGATGGGTGAATGTACTTCAATGGGGGAGAGTGAGATGGGTGAATGTACTTCAATGGGGGAGAGTGAGATGGGTGAATGTACTTCAATGGGGGAGAGTGAGATGGGTGAATGTACTTCAATGGGGGAGAGTGAGATGGGTGAATGTACTTCAATGGGGGAGAGTGAGATGGGTGAATGTACTTCAATGGGGGAGAGTGAGATGGGTGAATGTACTTCAATGGGGGAGAGTGAGATGGGTGAATGTACTTCAATGGGGGAGAGTGAGATGGGTGAATGTACTTCAATGGGGGAGAGTGAGATGGGTGAATGTACTTCAATGGGGGAGAGTGAGATGGGTGAATGTACTTCAATGGGGGAGAGTGAGATGGGTGAATGTACTTCAATGGGGGAGAGTGA